ATTTTAAGTTTGTTGGTGCTCAGGCTTCAAAATTCCCACCAATCAGAAAGACCAGGGGAATACACACACGAATTTAAGTGCATAGAAGAGAGCAAATCATCTGAACGAAGCTTCAGTTAACAGAAAATAGAACATCACAGCTACAGTTCACAGCCAGGGAGTACATACCTCTTCGCGTAACAGGCCTGGAACTAAGGCATAAACCTCGAAACAGTCTTTCTGCAAATGGAAAATTAGACACCGTTAATTCTCTTAGTGCATGCAAGTTTTTGTAAAGAGACAGAATTGAATAGTTTGATGCAAACATACAGTCTGGCGTACGTTAATCTTCACCCAATCAGCCGGGGGTCCAACATCAACAACTGATGTAACCAGCCTACAAAAATATATCAATTCACAAAATTTCAATTTCTGATAAAAAATTGAAATATAAAGGGAAAACATTGCTCCAGATAGTACTAAAAAGGAAGAGACAAAGCAAACATATAGCATATGTTCTATGTACAAAGTTTTAACCGTATTATAGCCAGACTTAACTGCTTAGATGTTTCAGTTCGAGCGGCTTTATTTGAATGCTCCACGTCGTTTGGTCTCTTCTGTTTGAGGGAGCCTGATCAACATGTCAGATACAGAATAAGCCAACAAAATTAAGTCAATTCATATACTAAAGGCTAAAAATGGAACATAACTCGTCCACATCTGCATTTTAACGAAAGTTAGCTTACCAATGCTTTTGAGGGTTTTCTCACGCTTCGCCATTGTGTTAAGATTCTTGTCCTATCAAAATGGAATTCAAGAAAATGGCATAAAAAACTATGCTGCATAATGTCAAGAAAAGTAGACCTGAAAGATGATTTATAAAAATGTTGATTCTCAAACAGACCTTTATAATTGGCTCGCCAGCATCACCGTTTGGAAAAAGGGTTTGGACATGCCAACCTTGCACAGCACGACCAGCAGCATCTCTTTTACCTCTTCCTGATCCTAATATTTGATGACCATTTCCCTGTGTGATATTTAAATAATCAATTTATGTTGTAAACCAACTTTTGTGCCAAAATACTTGCTATCTGCATATACATTAGAGAGAGAGGGAGACCATTTCTTCCTATAGTTAAATTGCTCCATAATCCTCTTTTCTCGTATTTGAGCCATCTCTTATACTAAACATCCTCTATTAGCATGCAAAGAAATTACTGGCACTAACGAGAAGGCATCAATCAACACTTAAGCACTTAATATCTCAGATGCAAGAAACATGTACCAATTTTCTCAGCTGTGGAGCAGCAACATTGCAGCGTGGGATTCTTTGCATATTAAGCAAGATTAAAGTTTAAAAATGAACATGTTCATGATTCAATCTTTACACTTCCATTATCCTCAAACATAACATATCCAAAACATATAGGGATTTTGCAATAGATGACCCCAATATATACACCTAATAACATTAGATCAACTTTGCAGAACGAAGGAAATTGTTCCATTTATAAAACAACCTAGAAAGAAGCATGCAATAAGAAATATTAAATGCGAACTCACATCAGCGTCAACAGGAGAAGCGTCAGTAAGTGCTGCTACCGGCAGTTGAAGCTCGCCACTTTGTGTCTTATGTCTTTCATATTCCAGAAGAGACTAATCCATATAGAAGGAAAAATTAGGTTTTTGACTTAAATGTAGCACCTAATTCTGATTGATATAACAGAAACAGAATTACATAGAAGAGAAAAACACGCTCAAAAGAGCAATACATATGAGAATGCAGGTACTTTTCTAGTTTCAACTCTTTCATCATTGAGAAGGGTACAGAAGATCTTTTGTTAAAGTCATTCACTCTTTTGCATCCAATCACTCATCTTGAGTGCGTGGAAAGGAGAATTTTAACAACACAAAACTATATGCTTCATGTTCATTTCAATGATTCGACTGAACCCAAAAGAGTTCCAAATTCTAGCAGGAGGATCTATCTAACTGAGTCAGACAGATAAGAACTAAATGGCTATTACAGCGATAAAAGTCAAAGCAAAATACTCACCTTCTCGTAGAAAATGCGGAATGTCCAAGAAACTGTTGTACAAGTCCTGAAACAACAAAAGAGACGCATCACTTAATTAACTTTTAAAGCCTGTTTCATTTCAAAAATTTTGTCGGGAAGGCTGAGTAAGTGCCAACAGAAGATTATAATTATAATGGAAATACTCAAAAATAATATTTTTTTTCTCACAGAAACCATGTAAAAGCACATCTAAAGTTTTAAATACAGATTTTTTAATTTCATCAACAAATTATTTATATGCTCATTTGACAAACAATAATCCAACAGGAAACTATCACAATCATTTGATGACCAGCAAAAAATAAGAATGGCAAAATAATTCCACAGAAAGCCTTACTTTGGTGGATGGAACGACTCTCCCACCTGCCTCCACAACTTGGATCCAGTTACCTATTCAAAGATATACAAATTCATAAACACTGAGAAGACATCCAACAGCTGATGCATTTAACTAGACCTAAACGCATTAAAGAAGTCCAACTTTGTACCTCGGAAAAGAGCATTAGATGACATGGTAATGCGTTGACAAAATCAGTTATAAATATTATTTATACCAGATTTTGCATTAGTTAGAAGGAAACTAGTACTACACAGCATCTACTTACAACAGCTTCCGCAGACGTACAGTAACAAAATTCTACCTCAAATTTTTGTGGGTGTGAATAGAATAGCAAATTTCTACCAGATTCTTTTTCTTTAGCCATATTTCGTCAAACAAGAAGTATTTAATGCCTCGCCAAGTCATAGGTGCCAACCAAAAATTTAATAGAGCATTAAACAGCAAACATGAGTAATATGCATGCAACAAAAAATAATAATAATAGTTAATAGTTGAACAAGGAAACATTTCTATCTCAATGCAATTTCGAGACAATTTCAGTGACTGTTTTCATTTTGCGTTTCCTAGGAAATGTTTGTGAGTGTTGCAATGTCCCCTAACTTGAGATACTAACACCCAGAACCATTGGTGCTTAGAAGGGTGAAGTATTTTTTTGTCTAGTAACAAGTGCAATAAGGATATCCATTCTCAGAGGTCCAGTGGCGAACAATGAGCTGAGTGAAAGCTCATGTTAAATGTGAATAAAAAACAAAACAAATCTTTGCTGTCACACAAAATTACGTATTTAGTACGCAAAAGAAAATCTAAAAATTAATTGAAAATTGCAGCATGCTATGGGAAGTATGTGCATAGATTTTCTGCATAATCGACATAGCAATAAGGTTTCATGCTCTGAATCATGTCAATAATGGTAATTGAACGTAAGAGTTATTACGCATAAATGTTAGACACATTACATAACAGAATTATAGTTAACTAATATGTGTTACCCCACGCTAAATATTTGATAGGGGAAAACATAGAGCATAAAGCAATATAGAGACTTCCGCAAGCATTAATTCTCATACAGATCTGGAATTTGATATCGATACACAAGGCAGAACAGCAATCTGACACTATAAAACTACAAAACATTAGATACTGAATGGCAAGAAATGGTAATATGGAGCATAAAGTAAACAAAATTACGACTATTAGGAAAATTAGGATATGCATACCCTGTCATAGCCTCCCAACCTAATTGTAGCTCTCCATAACCTAGCAGCCCAACAAAGTAAGGAAATTATTCTTTACCAAAGAACATAATAATAACAAATCGAACTACACGGCATACTTACTTCAGGCAATTTAGTGGCTGCCCATAAAATTTGGGTGGTTTGAAGTCCACTGCTCTCTCCCTACAAAAGCTTTCAAGTTCCTTCATAAATGCTGCTTGTTCATCTGGTGTTCCATCATCACTCTCTCCCATCTAAACATCAAAACAAGCATTATATACACTGGAAAATTGCAATTGTCGATGACTGATAACTACATACAATTATATAATTTTGCTTGTATAATCTTTCCTCATATTTATTACCAGAGGTAGCGTTACTGGAGTAAAAGCATTCTTTGTTTCTCCACTATTATCTCCACCAGTTGCCTGAGAATATCTGACCAGAGAACTGGGAGTAGCAGCTTCATGCTGGTTCGCAGGCGATGAATCTTGACCATCAAGTTTGGCAGCAGTCTCAACACTATTATCGTTCTCAACAATTCCACGGCTAGCAAGAACTGTTTCCGCACCATGTTCTTGTATATCATCTATAGATGTTTTACTTTTGTCCAAGTCAGCTGCAGCTTTCATATATTCATCCTTACCCTGCTGAACCTCATCTTGCTCAGCATTCTGTATTTGAGGAGCTTCAATGGCAGATAAGTCAGTTGGAAGCTGCACATCTCCTGTAAAATTATTCCCAGCATCAGCTTTTTCCATTGTCTTTTCCCCTCCTGCAACATGTTCAACATAATCTGTACCCTCCATGATAATATCTTTGGGACTTTCCTCTGCAGCATCTTCATTGGGTTTTTCCTCCACATTTTTCACCTCATCTCCACTGTCCAGGCCATTCTCAGTGGTCTTCTCTTCTTTAAGCTGACCATTAGTAACATTCTGTTCAAACACTTCATTTTTTACATCAGTTTGTTTCTCCACTGCACTTCTAGAAACAGTTTGCTCTTCAGCCCCAGTTTCGGTGGATATTAGTTCTTCATTGTCACTTCCTGAATTGATTTTTTCACTGACTGGTCCCTCTGTTGGCTCATAGGCCTCACTGTTAGAGTTAGCTTGATCTTTCAACTCAGCCAAGACATTAGTCTCGTCAATATCTTCTTCTCTGCATTTATCTGCTCCCCCATTCTCACATCCATTTACATCCTCAGAGACAGCAGCTGGACATGGAATTTTTTCTCCTTCCGTTTCAACACTAGCATCAACCGATTTGCCCTCTTCAACATTATTTCCTGAATCATTTGGGAGCTTTTCGGCATCCTCCATCTCTACATCACTTTTGCTCATTTTGCTATCTATGCAAAGATATATTGCGTCCATCAAAACATTTTCATAAGGATAGTTTCACCAACATGAAAAAGGAAATAGAAAAATTGAATCCGTCATGCAAAAATTGCAAAATAAAAAAACTACACAGCAAAATAGAAACTAATTTCTATCGGATCTTGTCCTCCGAGACCAGTCACTACCATTTTAAACCCTAATTCCGAATGAAGAAAAACGGCAACTCAATTTACCCGTGTATGAAGAAAATCCCACAACCATTTCACTAAAACAACATTGCATATACCGGGCTAAAAAAATCCTGAATCTGTTTAAAGTTAATTTCCAGATTCACGTAGAAGAAAAATCCAAATACAAATAATAAAACACAAACGAAACCAGCGGAAACAACAACCAAATACTTGCCTGAAATAAACACGCGGCGGCTGCGGCGACCGGAGCTTGAATATGCCCAAACGGAGTGCAATCAAATCTAGGCTTCGGCTTGTTCCTTTCAGTAGTAAAATGAGAAGACAATGTGCGAGTGTGTGCAATTCGAGTGCAAAATACGGTAGGATCAAAATAGGAGCCAAAATAAATTGCTTATTTACACGGTGATGGTAGAAAGTACGGTGTTTTACTGTAAAAAAACCACGAACGCAATCGGCGACGTAGAGAGAGAAAGAATT